ATGTTTATTTTCGTATTTATTTAATGAACTCTTGTCATAAATAGATGTTATAGGATTTGATGCTGCAGAAATTGATCGAGATTTAATAGCAGAGCGTCTCAAAAAGGATGCGGTAAATGAAGAATTTGTCATTTAATTCATTCCCATTGAGATTATTTATGTTAAAGATTTTATTTAAATCAGTTAGAACAAACAGGTCGCGCTCATCGTATAATAGCAGATACGGTAAATATTTTCACGTTTTTGTTATTTATCGTGAAATTTACTGCTTATTTAATCCTTTTTTCTTTCTCTAGTTTTCTTTTCCTATTGAGAATCCTAGTATAAAATCCGGCCGTCATGACCTTACAGTTACATGTGTTGCTATAGCAGAAAATGACCAAATCTTTTATACTGGATCAAAAGACGCCTCTATAACAAAATGTAAATTTTAAAAATTTAACATAAATTATTATTATTCAAATAAGTTTCATCTATTAAAAGAATTTTTTTATTATTATCTATCGCTTCCTTTAGGGAACTTGTTAACTGGCAAAAAATTGCATACATTTCCGGGAGGCCGAAAGGAAGTAAAAAATTTTGATGGCCATAACAATCATGTTTTATCAATGGCTATCAGTTCAGATGGTAAATATCTAGCAACCGGTGGTGCGGACAAAAAAGTTAACATATGGTCTGTGAAAGAGGACAAGTTATTGAAGTGTTTTACACAGCATAAGGATTCTGTATCTGTAAGAAATATTATTATATTTTGTCACTTATTTTATTCTCAAATTGCGATAGTACAGTTTATTTAATACATTATTTCGCTAGGGTCTTGCTTTTCGTAAGGGCTCTAATCAACTTTATAGTGCATCGTATGATCGAGCAATTAAATTATGGGATATAGATGAATTGTGTTACATCGATACCCTGTAAGCATTCCTCATATTTTTTTACTTTTTGATTTCGTTATTGCTAATTAACTTATTTTCTTCAAAATTAAAGATATGGTCATCAGGATCAAATTATGGCAATAGATACACTTTCACGCGAAAGGTGTGTTTCGGTTGGTGCCCGAGATAAAACATGCAGAATGTTTAAAGTTGTTGAAGAGTCACAGCTAATCTTTCGTGGTGATACAAAGATTGCAACAAAAGGAGGTCAATCATTCAAAGAAGGAAGTATAGACGTTGTGGCAATGATTGACGAGGATAATTTCCTTTCTGGTGGTGATAGTGGGTACGATAAATAATTTTTATTATATATCATTAAAGTATTTATTAATTCATAATTCAAATTTATCCAATTTTGTAGCACAATATCTTTATGGAATGTTAACAAAAAGAAACCGATATTTGTATACCATTTGGCACACGGAACACAGACATATGAATCAGAAAGCGAAGGTATAATATCTTCAGCGTATTGGATAATCTCATTAACTACAATTAGATATTCTGATTTATTTGCTTCTGGTTCATGGGATGGCAATATTCGATTATGGAAGATTACGAATAATATTAAATCTTTTGTTCCCTTAACACAGATAGCAATGATAGGATTTATAAATTCATTACAATTTGTGACAACTGTAATTGACGAAAAAACATTTCTCTTAGTCGGCGTAGGACAAGAGCATAGATTAGGTAGATGGCAAAGGATAAAAAAAATCAAGAATGGGTGGAGATTAATTGAACTGTATCAAAAGAAAAAATAAATTTTGTGGGACTAAATTATATTTATTCTTTTGATGATTATATATTTTTTATTGCAACATAAGCTTTTTTAGTAAACTTCAAAAGAATTAACAAGTATGTTTTTCATGTCGTTCAACATAAGTTTTATTAATGATGTTAATAGAAGTGAAAAAAGAAATATTATTTATTATTTCATCATTGAATGTGTTAGCGAATGACTTATCAAAACCTTGATCACTTATTTATCACGATCTTGGTTTTAAAACTTTCGCTAAGAAGAAATTCCAATCTTTTCTATTCTATTCATTGATAAATTAGTGAAATCTCATCGAGATACTTGTAATTTATTGAGAAAAGGAAAGATATACGTAATACAAGAAAGTGACAAAACATTTTTCCGTGAAACATGTTACTTTAACGAATTATTGTCATCAGAAACGAAATAGTTACAAACCGCAAAGAAAATTTTTATTTTTTAAAAATGGGGCGCGTGGTTTCATTGAAAAACTTATTGCTCCAAAACTTCCTTTTGCGCAGAATTTATTAATATCTTTATTTAATGGTTTTAATGTTTCTCCAACAAATGTTCTTATTTAGTAAGCTCTTGAAATTGCAACTTCATAATGAACTTGCAACGATATATATAAAAATATAAAATAATAATTAAAATTAACTATTCAAAATTTTTTAATTTCAAAGATTAATTACAATAGTAAAAATTTTAAACAAAATGATTTAAATCTATAATACAAAACCAAAACTTAATACTAAATCATATATATATATATATATATTATATTGGTTGTAAAAAATAAAATAATGATATAAACGTTAATATTATTATTATCAAAGAAACGTGTATATGCGTAGTCTACTATATTTCTAAATTAAAGAACAAGAGGAGCCTCTAAAGTTATGCTCCTTCTAACAACCCTACTTTCCAATCCACAGTCACTTCCAGCGCGACTTGTAAAACTTTTTAAACTCGTCGAACTTGAAACAGGAGTGAGAAAGATTCTTGCAGTATTGGATGAAGTTGCAATGGAATTTCTTTTTTTATGATATGATGGCGTAGAAGGTGTGGATGATGAACTAGTATAATTATATAAAGAAGGACAAAGTTCGGATAAAGCTAAATGATTTCCAAAAGGAAAATGGCAAGAATCATAGGTGTAATGATTCTCTCCTGTTCCTGTAATTATAGAAGCCAAACCATTATTATAATTTGATGAAGCGAATATTGTAGTCTGAGACAAATCACCATGAGTTGGATCTGTATCATCCGATATGATGATATTATTGGTTATACGACAAAAAGTTGTCCAAACCGTTGATAAAAGTGAATTTCTATTCGACTGTGAAGAGATTTGAGAAGCTGTTGATTGTTGATTTTGATGATCGGCGCTAGATAAATAAAGAATAAATATACGCGTTTTCTCATTGAGAAATTTTTAATTGACAAAGAATTTATGATCAATATACCTGTGAGAATTTTCGCTTATCATTATTTCGTTTAACATGTCATTTGAGATTGTAGGTGTAAAATTCATAGCAATTGGGTCTTTTTGAACGATCAATTTATTATCAAACCTAGTGAGAATGGAAGCATTTTTTTCGGTAATTGAACCATCAACAACATTAGATCTATGTATGGATGATGTCGAAGTCGCAGGTGACGATGAATCAAAAAGACGAGTCTTTGGTAGTTTTTCCGAATGGTTTTCTTGAAAAGTTTGATTTGGAAGTGTATCGATGTATTGAGTCGTAACTGTTGTGTATGTTGTAGAATTAGTGTTTTCATCGCCAACGTTAGCAAGAGATTTAATAGGATTCGTCTTGAGAATAAAAAAGAATATAAAAATATGAGGATCGGCACGAATAATGAGTAAAAATAATGTCAAAATATCGCCATAACTTTTTATGAAAATATCCTTACATTTCCTAAATCGCCAAGCTCGAACTTTGCTGCAGATGAGGCCGATTCGGCAAATTTATGATAAATCTGATTTGAATGAGCTTGTTCCTGAGAGTTAATCGCTGAAACAACCTCTTCTTCAATTCGAAAAACGTTACGAACTTTAGACATCAAAGTTTCCCTAATACTACTTCCCATAGGTCGAATACTATCATAATCTTGTGATGTCTTATCCGTGTTAACGGATCCGTTCTGATCGCTAACCGTTGGTTCATTATCTAGATCTAAAAATAATTGTCGATTCATCAGTTTCGGCGGGATTTGGCATTGACAACTAGCAAACGCTTACCATCACGGCTTGTCAATATTTCGGATTCTACGAGACTTGTTGAAACGTGATTTGATTCATCGGAAAGTTTAGTATCAAAAAAGTTTCCTGTTCCATCATGTGAAGGCATTTGTGATGGAGAATTGCCTTGACCTTCTGGAAGTAACTCTATCGAACGAGCAGTTTGGTCCAGAAGGTAATAAGGCTCAGAATCGCAATCACTTCCACCGCTAGCAAATTCAGAGTTGCTTTCTAAAGAGGGTATACCCTCCTCCACGGGATTCGTATTATCGCTAAGGACGTGCCAATCCTCATCGTCACTAACAACATTAACTAATCTACGTTCAATTGGTTGGTTAGAGGCACGTGCACTATTAAACATTACCCAGTCCTGTTCCGTTCCGGAAATCTCCTCCGAATCATTCGCTACATGATGTTGAACCCTTGGCTTTTGCTTATAAGTAGCCATAATGAAATATTTTTTAAATTTAAGAAAAAAATTTAAGCGAAAGGAATGGTATGAAAATAAGGCATTCAAATACTTTCTAATTCTATTTCATAATTGCGTAATACAGGTTGAAAACTAAACCAAAAAAAAAAATGACCTATGCACAGTTAAAAATGGTTAGATCAAAAAATAATGCATCATTACCCCATTAAAAAATGGTATAGGGTTATCTTCATATGGGACGTTTGGCAAGAAGGGGGAAAAATTAATTTTACTTTATATACCAAATATGATTTTTAGGCTGAAATATGTTCAAATTTAGCATTAACTCATTTTTGATTTTTCCGGCAGCTGATTTATGGTCCAGCCACGTATGGCTTGGACACTGGTTTGAAATACTGAAATAATGATTGGATGAAATTTGCACTTGATCCCGTGATTTGACTCATCCAAAAATAGTAGGAAGCTAGATCACTGACAATGTTACACGAACACATTTCTGTTGAAAGAAATCATTCATTATTTTTAATTTTTTTTCGTGTATCAATCAATATATTCTAGAAGTAATTTATTTATCAAAACAAATCGAAAATCAAGTAATTACAAAGTTTAGTTGTTTGTAAAGATTCAATGAGTGGTCCAAGAAATAGGTACGGCAGGCGTTCTCCCTACCAGCATCGTCAGCACCAAACGCAATCGCATTTTCAACGCTCACATAGCCAGGAGAACAGAGGTACTGTAAATTTTAATATTTAGATTATTTGATATATTACTAACCAACTTTTTTTCCATTTTAGAGTCTGCGAAACTTTCACGCGTACACCTACTTCTTTCACGTATACGCGACGAAAATGACCTGGTTTATTCCAGACGTCTATCTCACGTGCATCAGCTTACGTCTCTATTGGCGGACCCTTGTTCAACTTGGGAAAAAGTACAAATATTTGAAGCAGTTACTCGAATACAAGGAAATTCATCAGGAATTGAAATAGTCTTTGAAGATATTAGGTAAATGATTTAAATCAATCCTTTGATCAATTATGATGAATCTACCTAATTCCTACTTTTTTTCGTGACAGAGCACCAGTCAACTTCAAAACCGCCGTGGCAAAGTGTTTGGCCTTAATTGCTTTCAACTTAAATACTGAAATAAATACATACTTTCGTTGGTTATTTGAAAGGTTACAGATAACCAATACAAATTCTATTGAAAGGGAAAAAGAACGTAAATTTTGGATATTATTCTCCCTTAAAGAGGTAGGTGTTCTTTTTAAATATTGAACTTATACGGTTTATAATAAATTGATAATTAATTTTACACATGATACATAAAGGTTCTCTCACGTAATGTTTCAGGAACTAACTCACAGAATACTTTGACTTCGGGGCCTTTCCAGCAATATATTCCTGGACTTCTTCAGGATTTGGAAAGTTTACTAGACTCAATGGACAGTTCGGATTTCTTTCCGGGAATTTTAGAAGTTTTGGAAAAAATAGCGGAAAAGTATCCTCAAGAATTCGGTGATCGATTTAAGGTAGAAAATCATCATCATTGTTATTATTATTTTAAAATAAAATCTCAATAATAAAAATTACCTTGAATCATAATAATAATAGTTCTTTTGAATAAACTTATAGGATGTAATTGATCTATTGGTTGGATGGTATATTGATATATCAGTTTCGGGCTCTCTTCATAGTCTTATTGCAGGTATATAATTATTATTTATTAACGATGAACATTATAATTATTGATTTTGTAATTATTTAATAACTCATATGTTCTCTTCTTTTTAGATACCTTCAAAAAGTTACGACCTTTCTGGTCTCAATATTTAAATTTTTCATATGAGCTGATGAATCATTTTTTGGCAGACATGGAAGTATTATCAGGTGTGACAGTGTCTCAAGAAGGACCTCAAATTGATAAACAAACAAAGTCTGAAGGCGAGACAATGCCGAATCTTAAGGCATTGTTAAGGTAAGCTAAAGATGATATTTGAAAGATTTCTAATTAAGCATTAATATTAAATTTACTTTCATTAGTTGTTTTCATGCAGTAGCCGATGCCGTTGGAACAATTTTACCACAAGTTACATTAGATGAGCTTGATGAAACAACAGTTTGTGAGAACACGCACCCATATGATCGACTTCGCGCTTGGATTATCAAGTTCATATTGGTTATAGGAGAAATGTATATGGATATTGAATGGTTCGAAAAAGGTGCAAATTGCGTAAATCATTTGTAATTGACAACTATATATAATAGGAGTCCAAAAGTTTGTCTATAAATTTTACAGAGAAGTTTTTTGACTTTTCATCCAGGAAATCAAATTATCCAAACATTGAGCATGACGCGTAAACCGTTGTTTATACAACATCAAATTCAAGCAGCAAAATTTTGGCTGTTGCAAATTCAGGATGGTTTTCATATAAATATCTCAATACAAAGCGTGGATGAATGGTTTGATGGATTTCTTCAGGTTTTTTATCATTTTATTTAAATAAAGTACTTTAAATTAGATTATAAATTTTTTACTTATTTTATTTAAATATTGTCTTCTTTTAGGTTCTGGTACAATGGATACCTTCTATTCATCCTGAGGTTATATATATCTTAACGAATCCAGATTCTGCGTTGATGAAACTTCGTTGGAATTCTTATGGCGCTCGTTTAAATTCAGACTTGCTGGATATTTTGCATATTGTTCTTCAAAATCAAGTTTCTATCATTCCCCGATCTAAAACTAATGAAATGACTTTGCTTCATCAAATAACTATTGAAATTGGTATTATGATGAGATTAGTGTTTCGTTCGGATGGTTCATCGAGAATTTCTTCAAATTTACATTGGAGGGATATTTTGAAGAGAAAAGAATTTGATCATGATCAAACTATTGTTCAATTTCTTGAAAGCCTACGATCTCTTTTAAATGCTAATGATAAGCTATTAAAGGACTGTTCATTAAACATTCGAACTGCTACTTCAATTCTTATTTTCGATATCAAAATTCTGACTGATATTGCATATTCATGGAATCTTAATCGAGAGACTTTTTGGGTCTTTTATGTGATGTTAAATAAGATCGGAGAGAGTGGTCAATTCGATGGCTTAGTTATGTGTACTTTGCTAAAGTCTTTACGTCAAGTGTGTCGAAGGTATAATATGGTTCATAAGTTATTTTAAATCTTTAATACATATATTAATTTATTTTCATCGTCTTTATATAATAGTAAAGAATATTTCATGACCGAAATTAAAATTGATTCTTCGCTTCCTTCTGCTTTTTATGCAATGGTTACTACCCTTACCGTATTCTTGCGATATCCTAATGAATTTTCATCAAATGTCTTGGCTTTAGCACTTGATTGGTTTGATGATATTTTGGAATTTTGTAATGATGATCAATTTCACACAAAAGAAATTAACGAAATAATTCGAAAGGAATTTGATAATGTTATTTTTTCTTTGGTCATTATTGCAAGTAAGTCGGGTTTAGCACCATATAATCTATTAATGCTGTCTTATCATTTATTTTTAAATTAAAATTGGCAATTGATGTTACATTATAGGAGTTGTCAAAAATAATGATATTCGTCTTCAAATACCTAAAATTATTTGTGGTTACTTTGAAGCGTTTGGATCTCTTAAATTACATAAGAATGTTTTGATCATGGTTGCGCACAGGTTGATAAAATTTAAAAATTCTTTGTAACTCGTTTATTATTTAACAAATATTTAATTTACTTTTTTTTTATTTGAATAAAGGTTGTTTGATTCGGATATCAACGTACAAAGCGAATTTTCAAAGTTAATTAATTCTATTAATCCTCTTTATTGTACTTTTCAAATTGAACCTTTGATAGATCAATTTGTTGTAAATTTCAAAGTATGCGAGCTATTATTATATGATTTGTTATTATGAGTCGTTGTTATTAGAATTTACGACGAGTATTACTATTTATTTTTATTTTTCGTAGAAAAATGTTGCTTCAACACCTCATTTAGGCAATTTTAGACCACCACATTTTCAGATTGTAATGTCTCGTCTCGGTATGAATGAATTATTATCCTCTCAAGATGAATCAATCATCATAAGTGATGAAACGTATGAAAAGGGCCAATGGCTGCTTCGATTATTTCATTCTTGTCAATCAATTGAGGGATTTGACAAAGAAAATCCTATCGAAGATGAAGAAAATATGAAATTTGGTAAATACATTTTTTTATTCACACTTTAAAATAGTTTATTATCCCTAATATCTTATGAACACAATTTATCAAATAAGTATATTCAGAAAGCGATATAGCTGGTGCAATTGCTAACTCTAACGACCTCCTTACATTTTGGAGTCTTTGGGAAGTCGTTCGTTACTGTGTGCTGTCTAGGTTACGAACACCGTTTGGAGGACCTAAACAAGTATTTCAGAATTCGTTAATGAATTTGTTGTTATTAATTTTGAGACACGCATTTTTAATTTATAATGTATTTGAGCTAGACTTTTGATGCCTTTGAGAAGAGGCTAAATGACTTAATTATTCAAGATGTTGATATTCCTATACCTTATGGGCTCGATGAAACGAATATTGATGAGAGGTATTTTTAATGTAAACTATATGCTGTAATGAAAATTAGCCGTTTTATTAATTAATATGTATTTTAAGTTTGCATAATTTAAATCAATTACGTGATTTATTGATACTGATCGATCGCTTGGAACTTCAAATATACAATGCAGCAGTTGGAACTGCTCTTGGACGTTTGCCACAAGCTCCACGTGCAAGTATAATCTTTTTCAGAACAAATCGAAAGGTTTGTGATGATTGGTTTTCTCGAAATAGGTCCAGCATTATAAAGGGTTCCAAAATTATCGGTCATGATTCTATGGCCATTAGGCATGGATTATTGGTAAATTCTCTTTGGATTTTGCATAATTTTCGTTAGACGCTACGTATTGTACATCTAAGTTTAATATCGATCTAAAATAGTCTCTCGTGGAACGAGTCAACTTATTGAAACAAGGAGCAATTAAGAGTAGAATGACATGGATGATGGAATACCAACAAATTCTAATGGATGTTGGTAAGTTTAAAGGTACACTATCATATTTTTATTTTGCATCATCTAATTAATTATCATTACATACCTTAGTTCAAAGTCTCCAAAGAATACATGCTGCTGATAGTATAATTGGCTTATTAAATTGGTCAAAGCGTGTTTGCATTAGTAATTATGAAAAACCAGATTCTGGTTCGTTAGGTCAACATGATGAGGTACAAATGGGAGATAAGGCTAGCGCATCAACTTTACCACTACCACCTGTAACCCAGAGTGAGTTTCTTGATCTTTAACATCTTAACACGAGTTCAAAATCTGTTTATAATAAATTTTGATCTAATTTAGGAACTTTGCTTCAGCGGAAACCAACGAACAAAACCATTCCAAGTTCAGCTTATTTTTATTGGATGAATAGTTCTCATTTATTCGCGGAAGCAAAGTACGAATTTACTGTAAAAGAGAGTAAAGAAGCTTTAAGTAACCTCTTCGAACTTGATCCGGAAATGCAAGTCATAACGCCACAAGTTCAATTTTTGACTGCCCAAGTGAGTCAATTTTCTTCGTAGTTTGATAAACACAACTGAAGAATCAGTAATTTAGATTCGGACTTTATTATTTTTTTTTTTTTAGATAATAGATAGTTATTGTAAAATGGAAGATTTATCTTCTCTTGCTGAATGGTTAAATGATTTTGATGTCAATGAAAGCACGCTGGATCCCTTGACGCGGCTAAACAAGCATTATTTGGAATCTTTGGCCAAATATCATGTCGGAGACCATTTATCTGCTTGGGAACTTGTTGAATCTAATCCTCTACGAACATCTGGTCATCATATTAATCTTCGTGGTGCAAACTTTATTTATTCTCTTTGTTTGTTCCATGAAAAATTGGCACAAATTCATGAAGCTCCTGCATTGAAAACGCAGTCAACATATTTTATTATAAAAGCGGCTGCTCGACTTGCGCTTGAAAATTCACTCATAAATACAATTCCGTTGTTGGCCAAAGCATCAATTGTAAACTCAAATGCTCAGAGTATTCAAGATTTTTTGGATGAATTTATAAATTGTACTAGAGGATCTCAAAACATGACCTTTACAAATACGTTTATTAATGATTTAGAGATATGGAGCGCAGTAAATTCAAGCATTGATATAGGAAACGGAATTTCTCAACCAGAAAAACCCATACAAAAAAAACTCGGTATTTTTAGGCTCAAGATGGCTAATATTGCAAGGAAAAGTTCTGCTTTCCAAATGGCAAATTCACTATTAGATCATTGGAATCAAGATTTATCTTCCGAAGTTATTATCGAGCGTGCTAAAATAATGTATGCACAAGGCCACTATCAAAAAGCTATCATCCGTGCTTGCTCAATATTTGGTGAAAAGGAACTCATTCCTACGGGTTTTTTTGATTCACGAGGTTTCGAACAAAAGATCTGCCTAAAAATTGCTAAATGGATACAAAATTCGGAAACTTTTATTAAAAACGAAACCCTTTCTGAGATAAGCGGATTCTTGGGTAAAACAATAATAAATAAGGTTATTAATGAAGCTGAGCCCATTAATGAAATTGAAAGTAGGTCAATAGTGGAAGCTTGTCTATCGTTTGCCATTAAAGGTGAAAGTTCTTATAATAAAGCTTGGTTTTCGTATGCTACATATCATTACCAAAGAGGACGACAAATACTTGAGGAACTCGGTAGTGGAAAGCCTACCATTACTCTAATTACCGTCTCGCGAAATACAATTCAAGAAGTATTAACAGATGATTGGCAGAATACAAATCATGACAATCAAATTGGATTCGATTTATTATACAAAGTATTATGTTTAATATTTGTTCATCTTTTAATTCGCGCTTTTATAAATTTAATGATGCACCTCGAATTTAATTTTAGGCATTGTTCCAATTGTTCATAAGAAAATTTGAATCTCATTCCAAATTTGAAAATGATGAAAGAAAGGGATCAGAGTTTAAGGAAATTATTCCTTGGATTTCCGAAAAGTCAACAGAAGTAATTACAACAATTTTACATAATTTGCAAGAAGAAATTATTTCTTCATACAAATGTGCAATAGAAGGGTATTTTAAATATCTCCAATTAGCTAACGGGGTTAGGAAAGACGGAATAAATAAACACGAGGTGAATATTTTAAAACCTTTTTTTTTTTTTTTTTTTTAATTTTATACCATTTTCACAATTGTTATGTTCAATTTTATAGGATATTTGTAACGAACGTGTTGAAGACTCTGATATAACTACAGCGACTCTTAGGATATTAAGATTATTGGTGAAACATGGAGCTTGCTTAGAGTCAGAATTTGCTCAAGGATTTGACTCTACTGATTACAGAGTTTGGGAAAACATTATTCCTCAATTATTTTCGCGACTTGACCATCCGGAACTAATTGTTCAACAGCAACTTTGTAAACTCCTTTGTGTAATTGCTACCAATTCACCTCATATAGTCGTATATCATATAGTTGTTGCATTAAATTCTGGCGGAACTAGCGAGCAGAATAAGCAATTGCTTAGGAAAATTGCTGACAATTTGGATGATTCTAATGGTGTATTAATTGCCGATATTCGTCAGGTTATTAAGGAATTTCAAAATATAACAGTTTTATGGGAAGAGCATTGGTTAAATAAAATTATTGGATTACAACTTGATGTTAGCAAGCGATTACATAAAATTGATAATGAATTCGAAAGAATTAATGATAACCTTAATTTGACATCTGATCATAGAAGTAAAATCATGAAAGAAATTTACGACACAATCATGAAACCTGTAATTTCATCTATTGAAAGGTTATATAATACAACTATTATGATAGCTTCCACGCCTCATGAAAGGTGGTTTAATCAAACTTTTGGAAGCAGAATTCATGATGCTTTAGAAAAATTACGTACTCCAACTTCGTGGCGTACGTATAAAGAAGGATGGGACCTATTAAGAAATGTGAGTACCCTATTTTGAATATTTCGATTTAAAACGGTAATTTATATACTTTCTAGTGACTTGATCTGATATAATTTATACATGAATATAGGTTCATAAGGACTTGATGAAAGAGTTGCAGATGAGTCGAACATTAAAATTGTCCGATCTTAGCCCATTGTTAAGCAGAATTAAATCTTCGCAAATCACGATGCCAGGATTAATAACAACACACCATGAAACCATATTCATACAATCATTTGATGATAATGTTGTCATTTTACCTACAAAAACAAAACCTAAAAAGATAATTCTTCTCGGTTCTGACGGTAAGCAATATGGATATTTGTTTAAAGGCCATGAGGATCTTCATCTGGACGAAAGAATTATGCAATTATTACAAATTACGAACGATTTATTTCATAGAGACAAACATGCTCGTAGCAGAAAATTGAAAGCTAGGCATTATGTAGTGATTCCTTTAGGTAATCATTCTGGCATGATTCAATGGGTTGAGAATGCTACGCAAATGTTTGTTCTTTACAAGAAATGGCAACATCGAGAATATTTTGCTAAGCATTTACAAACCAATAATGCGGAGATGGTTGGTAATCCACTTAGACCGAGTGACATGTTTTTTGAAAAAATAAGCAAAGCGTTAAAAAAAGAAGGATTGGCTTCATCTTCATCAAGACGCAATTGGCCAAAGTCTGTATTGAAATCGGTATTCCTCGAATTAGTTTCAGAGACTCCTTCTGATTTGTTAGAAAAGGAAGTCTGGTCATCTTGTTCTAGTCCTTCCGAATGGTGGGAAAAGAGTGTATCTTTATCCAGGTCATTAGCTGTAATGTCAATTATAGGCTATATAATTGGACTTGGTGACAGACATTTAGATAATATTTTAATCGATTTTGATCGAGGAGAAGTTATACATATTGATTATAATGTCTGTTTTGAGAAGGGGAAAAAATTACGTGTACCGGAGACCGTTCCTTTCCGCCTTACACAAAATTTAGAGACCGCACTTGGCATTACAGGAGTAGAAGGAGTATTTAGAATTGCATGTGAGAACGTACTTAGAGTAATGAAGAAGAATAAAGAAATGTTAATCGCCTTACTTGAGGCTTTTGTTTATGATCCTTTAGTTGATTGGAATCAAAATTTGCTAGAAGATAAGGATAAGCAAATAATGGAATTTGCAGAGAATATTGGGTTACTAACTTCAAGAATTGGTACATGAAAATAAGTTTTTTTTACTTTGCTTTTTAATCTTGGTAATATTTATTCTTACCGAAATAATAATTATAATAATGCAACCTTTTTAATTTATAGCTGAACTTAGAGCCCCACTCGAGAAAAATCAAATGCAATTATCAGATATCGTGTTGGAATTTCTAGAAGCATATAGAAATTTATGGGATAATCATAATGAAAATAAAAGAGATGTTGAATCATCAGAAAATGAGTCAAAAGAAGTTCAAAGTATTAAAGCTGGCCCGAGTCTTAGTAATGTCGAAATGGAAAGTATTAATAATAATCAGTTAGAGTTGGCAAGACTGAAATCAATGCTTTCGCAAAGAGCAAACGAATGTGCATTATGGCATGCACAACATGAGAAGACTATTCAATCTGTACAGGTAAATGGACTGTTTTGAATTATATTTGAAGGAATTTCTAGAACGATTAATATACATATATTAATTAATATATTTTCGATTAGGGACCCCTCTTACAAGTAATGTATAATGAAGCTTTCGCAAGTTCGCAGGTTGGGTCAACATTATTTGGGAATTTCTTGCACATTTTGCCTACAAACGAAAATCTCCATCAACTTTGTTCAAAGATTAATCAAGACTTTTTTGGGTGGATAAATGAACGCAATCATGCATTTAAAAATTGTCTCGAAAGATTACAATTTTATCAAACATTAATACTTCCGATTATACAAGATTTGTTGAAGCAGGATTATTATGGAAAATGGTCACATTTATTAAGTGAATTTCTGGATTCTAGATTTGAAAAGGAAGATTTCCAAAAGATATTTGAACATTTTAATTTGGAGAAACCGTCTCATCAATTTGAAAGTAGCGTCGATGAAATTGCTATGGTATGTAATCATATTTGTCGGTGCCTTAAATTTTTTCATTAATTCATAAATTTTCATCTATAGACAAACATGAGAAAAACTGAAATTGACATAGAACTACAGCAGCGTCAAATGGAATTAATGAGGATCGAGTGGATTAATGAGACATCGGTCGGAAACGATGGTTCTATTAGAAAGCAGGTATATTAAGATTAAGAAAGATATTTAATAATTATTATGAATAAATTGATATTATGTTACTAATAAACTAATAATCATACTTTAGTTTTTGGAAGATTTAACGCAAGATGTGAATATATTCATTAGATTGGATTCATTACTACAAGAGTTAACTGCTCAATACAGAACCATTGAAGTTGACATCACAGAAATGATTATTACAAAGCAGTTTACAACTCCTGAAAGTAACGAAAGTGATGTAATATTACAATCTTTTAATGAAGATGTAACGAATCAACAAATTCTTTTCGCTCAAGAATTTGAAAGAGTAAGCAAATTTATTTATATATTTCAAAGGGCAATATTTTATTCTTTTTCATTTTCCTTTTTACTTTGTAAATTTTTATATTTTGACATAATAACTTCATCATAGATGAAACACATAGTGAGTCTGTGTAATTCGATATTACATTTAGAATCATTCCGCATGATAACTGAAAAGACTATAACAATGGATGTAGATACCCTTCAATTGGTTAAAAGGTTGGAAGGAGTTGTATATAGGTGAATAAGATATACAATATAATGAATTTTTTTTGGTATATTATGAATTTTTGCTTATATTTCTTTCAATATCATGATAATTTTTGTGTAGAGTAAAATCTACAATTAATCCAGAAATGGACATTATACAACAACTTTCTTCATTAGAGGTGAGATACTTAATTTGAATTTGAACTATTATATCAAAAGAAAATTTGGATTTAAATTATATGTTAATGAATAAAAATATTTAGTTTGTTCCGTCAACTGATAAGAGATTATCAAGAGAACTTGAAGTGATTGCTGAGGAATTTCATAATACATTTGGAGAAATGCGTTCTTTGATGCTTGACTTAATTCTTTTGATCGAACCGATTATTAATATTGAAGTAGACATTGACGATATTGGAAAGAATATTCGATCAAAAGCAAAAGTAAATATCACATTTTAAGTTAATATATAGCAGTCATACATTCTAAAGTATTTATTATGACTATTTAGGATTTCATGCGTGAATGGTCAAAATTTGAAAATGAAGCAAGTACAGTTATAAATAATTCTTTATCCGTTTTTGATGGAAGTCAAAAAGCACAAGGTTACAATATTGTGGAAAGTTTATATCAAGAAAGCGTAATTATATCTTAAATTTTTTTAAAATTTTTTAAAAAAGAAAATTGAACTTATTTAATTAATTTATTTAGGTTCGAACCATATCTGATTTTTTGAACATATTATCACGCATATTTGAATTTCTCTTTAAACTTTGTGAAGTATCCGCAGGAAACGATCAAAATTATTCACGTCAGCAAAGCGCTTCGTCTCTTGAAATTTCTAGCATCCCGAAACAATCCATCACATCTTCTGGAACCAACTTAGAAATTGATGGTGCACAGATCTCGGCATCTACTGAAGCAAATCGTTTTCAAGATTGTACAAGTGAATATGTAGACCAAAATGAAGTTTATAGCAATCCAATTTCTTCACAAAAAGATGATCAAGCACAATCATTAAAAGACAATATAATAAGACGTAGTTCATTAATTATTGCTGAAGGAATTCAGGTCACTGGAAACGTTGGAACAGGTAAATTAAAGAAATTCTTATATCTTTCCTATACAATTATTAAATGAATTTCCTTTTTATATTTATAGCACAAGCAAGGAACTCGTTTGCTGTTAGTGTCATTCGTAAAGTTAAATCAAAACTTGAAGGAAAAGATTTTGATTTAAATACAAAAATGAACATATCTGAACAGGTAAATTGTTCAAATAATTTTTAATCCTAACTTGTGATTAATTAATATTAATTATTTTTTAGGTTGATAAAATAATTCAACAAGCAATTGATATAGATAATTTATGTGTTATGTACGAAGGCTGGACTCCTTGGATTTGATATTTAAATTGTATGCTGATATATTAACTAGCTTTTAATACATAATTGTTTTTATTAAATAATAAATAATAATTTATCCTTTTTTTTGTAAAAATTGAACATGTAATTCTTACTACAATGTCTATTGAGATTATGCACTGATCATGATCGAATAACAACTAATAGCCTTGACATTTTATTATATCGGTCTTCGATCGATAACGATGAATTTGAGTCGTCACGTGACTTATTTGATTTGGTTTTTCCGGGCTGGCATTAGTATGAGTCTTAATCTCGGTCAGATAAAATCTCGGTGTAACTGGAATGCGTCATCGATTAAAAATTTTTTTTTTAAAAAATATGCGTTCGTCAGCACTCTTTTGCATGCCTCGAATTCTAAATCAATTCCTTTGTCTGTACAATTAATCTTATTGATATAATGGTAGGCTTCAATTAGTTAAATTATTTCGCTTCAATTATTAAATAATTCCTACTTTAAAACTTAGTTTCGCAATCAATACGATAATGATACTTCAACTTGGAGTCCTCAAGGCCGTATTCACCAGATCGAATACGCCTTGGAAGCGGTAAAGCAAGGCTCAGCTGCGGTTGGGTTAAGATCAAATACTCATGCTGTATTATTGGCATTAAAGGTAAAACGTTAACTAAATATATTGTCTTTATTATAGTTGTCTAGTTTCATGTTTGCACGAGTTTTATGAAACTTTGTAGTTTTTTTTAGAGATCTTCTGACGAATTAGCTTCTTATCAAAAGAAGCTAATTCGAATTGATGACCATTTGGGTATCGCTATTGCAGGGTTAACTTCGGATGCACGCGTATTAAGGTAAGAATTTTATTGATATTGAATTAATCAATCATAAGAATTTTATCACTAAAATTTTTGTATATTTGTCAAAACAGTAACTTTATGAGAACAGAAGCAATGAGATCCAAAATGATATATAATCGACCTTTGCCAATTTTCCGTATTGTTTCAGCAATTGGAGATAGTATGTTAAAATTTTCGTATAATTAAATTCGCAAAGGTAGTTTGTTTACTGACTATTTTCATCTATCATATAGAGGCACAAGCAAACACACAAAACTATGGTCGTCGACCTTATGGTGTTGGTCTTTTGGTCGCTGGATTTGATGTAATTTAACATTAAAATTTAATTATATAATTTGAAGCTTCATTACTATTTACAACTTATTTTTATTCCTATGGTTTATAGGAAACTGGCCCACATTTATATGAATGTGTTCCTTCTGGGGATTTCTTTGAGTATTACGCTATGTCAATCGGTGCAAGATCACAGTCGGCAAAGACATATTTAGAAAAATACTATGAGAGTTTCGCGGAAGGTAACACATTATATTTATTTTTATTTAAGCCAAAAAATATCAAATTCAATTTTATTCATTTAACTTTTAATAAATAAAAGCTTCATTGGAAGAACTTGTTCGACATGGACTTCATGCGCTCCGTGATACTTTGCAACAGGATAAAGAACTTAATAATCGCAATTGCTCAATTGGAATAGTCGGAGCTGATCAAAAATTTCAAATTATTGAAGGTGATGCTTTACAAGATTATTTAAATTTACTAGATTCAGATACTCAAGAAGATCAAGGACAAGCACCAATGGAAACTGAAGACTAGTTAAAAAAATCAAATAAAAAAAAACACTATTTTAAAATGATTAGTAAACTATATTATAAATGAATAAAATTTTTATATATATATTTGCATTTTTTTTTTTTTTAATAAAGTTACTTCTTATTCTTTAGTATGTATATATTGTTTATTATATATATATTTAATTGTGTTTTATACAAACTTTACAATTGGAAAGGATTGTATTTATTTATTTATTTTTTTTTTTTTAAAAAAATTATTAATAAAATTATATATATATAATATATATTTAATATTTTTATTTGATTTTAAAATGATTTATTAAATTATTTAATAAATTATTTTAAAATTTATATTATAAAATATTAATAAATTTTGTAAACAATTTTTTAAATATAAACTAGCAATTTTATTTTTTATTTTTTATTTTATTTTTTTTTTTCGATATCCATCGCATATTTAATGGTGATGATCATAATGAATAGATTAATTTTATAATAAAAAAACATAAATAATTGATTTGAAGATTTTACAATACATGTTTTTTTTGATATAATTTTTTATAATCAAATTGAAGATCAGCAAATTATGATTTTAATTTAACAATTTATTTAATAAAATAATTTTGAATTTTTAAAGGTATCAATTAAATAATGTAATACTTGCTATTTTCATTTTTAAAAATAAGTATTTTATTATTGAAAATTATAAGATTTAATCATAAAATGTCTTGTAATCTTTGATATTTTAGGATTATATCCTGATCTGTTATAAATGCTGACCTGTCAAAATAAAAAATCTCAACATTATCTCAGGTATAATATCTATTAAAAAATGATATAGGTTTAATCTACAAAAAAGATATGTTGATCTAAAATGAAAGAAATATTTGATAAAATTAAACTTTGTATCTTGTAAACTGTAAGAGAAAAGCAATTTTATAGTAGATATTGAGTTTTGTAACAATTTCCTAAATACAGTCACACCTCGATATAACTAAGTTATCGATCCAGCCGATCAGGACTTCGTTATAAGAATCTTTGTTATAGCGTTAACGATTTTTCATTATAGTAGATGATTACTGATTTCATTATACAAATATAATTTTATTATGATATAATTTTTCCAGAAATATTTTGTAAATTCTAGTCATTTTATTTTAACATGTAATCTGTTAATCATTATATGACAGTTTTATTAATTTAAATTTTTTTTTAAAATAAAATAAAAATAAAATAAAAAATAAAAACGAAACGAAAAGAAAACTAAACGAGACAAAAAAATGAAATTAAGAAAACGAAACGAAAGTATAAAACAAAATTAGGAAAATGAATGAAATGAAAAAATGAAACGAAACGAAAAAATGAAAAAGAAAAAATGAAATTAAACATATGATACGAAAAGAAAAAACGAACGATACGAAAAAAAAATGAAATTAAACGAACAATAAGAAAAAAACCGAAATTTTTATAGCCTTATAGGCGCGTCGCGATTTTGCCGTCTATTTCAGTTTTACCTCGCAGGCTCATCACAGTTTTCCCTTCTGTTTCGTATTTGCCTCATAGTAGACAAATTACAATTTCTCCTACGAGTGTGCCTCGATTCTAAAAAAGTAAATATATTTAATATAAATCTAAAAAATCATTTAAACTTTTTTAATTATTACCTGGCCTATCC